AGGGCCCGCTCGCGCCACCGCGTGGCCGGGAAGCACCGCAGGGGCCCCGGCACTGCTGCTGTGTGGCTCAGGGCCGGGACGTCACAGACTCGAGGAGCACCAGCTGCCTCTCGGGTCCGGGGCCGGGGACCTACCTTCCGCGGTGCCCGACAGCCCGTCGGCCTTGAAGTTGCTGGCGCTCTTCTTCCGCCGGTGCTTCTTCCTGTTGGCGTGCGGGGACGGCGGCGGGTCCAGCTTGGGGCTGGCGGTGCTCGACATGCTGGGGCTGGAGCACACGGAGTCGCCCAGCCCCGTGTCTGCGCCGGACCGGAAAGGAAAACAGAGCTGTGTTAGCGCCCCAAAAGGGAAAACCATGCTCCCGCCAGGTCCTACCAGCCCCACAAAGAATGCGCTCCTGGATATTTCATATGTTACACAATACATAGCACAGGAGGCTGCTGGGTGGAAGGCCCAGCGCATCCAGCACACTATTTAGCTCTTGTATATAATACAGTATAAAATATATATAATATGAGATTTCTATATGGGAGGCCCAGGGTGGTCAATAGGTACAAACTTTCAATTATAAAATCACTATTGTATACACTATAGCTAATACAATCATAGTATACATAATATAAGTAGGCATGTGATACAACATACAGCTCATGGTGCTATATTGTAGATTTGAAAGTTGCCAAGAGAACAGATGTTAAAAGTTCTCAGCACAAGAAGAAACACTGTAACTGTGGCGACGGATGGTAACTAGAGGTACTGTGGTGATCATTTCACTGTATATAACCTATCAAGTCATCGCAATACACCTGAAACTGCTATAACGTGACTTGTCAACTACATATCAAGGAAAAAGGCAGGAAAATAGACACTGAGGAGCTCCTTGCTTTCACGTGCGTCCCCCCACTCAGAGCCAGGCATCTGTTTCTGCACCGTCTTCCTGCTTAACATTCTCTACTTTTCACGACGAGACCCCGGGGAGAGGAAAGTGGGGAGTTCATGGATTTCAGTCACCTACTTCTCTCTTCCCACAGCTACCCTGATGTGTTAGAAATGAAACGCAGGCCCTCAGAGACGCACACGGCAGGTCTCGTTGTGGGTGTGCACACGGGGAGGGATTCCAGGCGGGCTGGCCTCTCCCCCAACACTGCCCATTCCCGTGAGGCCAGTTACTGCGGGACACGGCACAGGAGGTCTCCCACCCACGTCCCCTTCGGCGTCCGGAGGGTCCATATAGCAGACCCGCCAACTTCTGATTCACTGAAGCTATTTGTAAAATTTTACAACCAGCGCACGAATGTGATCATTTACTGTAGGTGAGACTCCCAATCGATTATGTCTATTTTTATCTTTATCAAAGAGAAGACCCAAGTCCTGCTATAAGACCTGCAGCAAACAAGCAATCCAACCAGAACAAAAGAGGATTCTGAAAGCCGATGGAGAAACACCACCCAGACCCCTCCCAGGCCTCAGCAAGCCTTCAGGCACCTGTGAGCAGCCACTGGGCGCCGGCCCATTTTCTGGATGCGTGGGATCCGCCCCTGAGAAAAACAGATAAAGATTCCTGTCCGACTGGCACGGAGGCGGTGGCTGAGCCACAACCCGGAGTCCATTAGGAGGTGGTAGGTGTCAGGAGAGAAAAGGGGGGTGTGGAGGGTTGGAAGTTGGGGAGGTGGTGCTGGGGGTGGGGGCGGCTGCCACTGTAAATAGGTGGTCAGGGCAGGACTCCCTGAGAAGGTGACATTTGAGCCAAGACTTGAAGGTAGTGAGGAGGTGAGAAGGTAGGAGGAAGAAATAGTCAGAACGTGGCCCTGCCAGGGAAGCACACCTGCCGTGGCCCTGCCACGGAAGCACACGGCGGTGGCCTGCCACGGAAGAACGTGGCTGTGCCCCTGCCACGGAAGCACACGGCTGTGGCCTGCCACGGAGGCACACCTGCTGTGTTTGAGAAACAGAGGAGAGGGGCTGGGCGGACGAGGAAGGGAGATGGGCAGGAAATGGCATGGGGGGGAGGGCTTGCCGGCCACCGAGGGGACCCTGGCTTTTACTCTTCGGGAAATTGTTTTGAACAGAGGGTGACATAATTTCAACTATAAAGATACTTGAAATGAGACTCAGTTTCAAAGACTTTCAGTTTATGAAGTTCTAGAAAATGTTATCATATGTTGAGAAAGGTAAAAACACTCAACTTAAGGTATCTCTTCAGATCAGCGTTTCCAAAGGTGCCCAAGACCAGAGATCCCTCGCCCAAGCCTGCATGGCGGGAGGGTCCACCGCCTCCCCAGCACCCATCACAGGTGAGGAAAGGACTCCAGGAGCCACCCGGAGCTCCTATAGGGGCACCTGAAACCCACATAATTTTATTAACCAATGTCATACCAGTAAATTCAACAACAATAAAAAAGGCCGTATGCTCGCTGCACATGCCTGATGAGCACACGATGCCTGAACAAGGCGATCGCCGAGGCAAATGATGGCAGAGGCCAGGGAGGGGCACGACGCTGGGTCAGGGAGGCCGTGGCAGGAGGCAAGAGGCCGGCAGGGACAGTGGCCTGGGGCTCACGTGGAGATGGCCACGGTTTCCGGTTAACCAGGCCCTGAGCCGGGATATTAATGTCCCTGGCGTCCAGGTCCCGAGAACTGCTTCCAGGAGCAGCTAACATTCCTCGGTTTAAAATATGAGCGCTCCAGACGCAGGAGGCCTCCACGCCGGGCTCCCCCGCTCCTCCGACTCCCTGCCTGACAAGGTATCCCTCAAAGTGACGAGCCCGAGAGCCCAGCCTCCGACGCTGCAAATGAGCTCGGGCCGCAGCCCCCGCAACGCCACCCGAGCCTGCAGATAACCTGTTTTATTTTGCATCAATTACCGGGCACCGCGACGGGCAATGACTGTGGACAGCGTTAACTATGGGAGGGACAGGCGAAGAGAAAAGGGTGCGCCAATTAAAAACAGCGAGCGCCCCAATACTCCACGCCTAACGGGGCGGCTCCGACCGGGGGCTAGGGCGTCCCGGCCCCGAGGCGC